AGATCATGTGCTAAAAGCACTGTTTAAAACCAATGTCTGAAATGTAATATACACTCAACAAATATAGTTTTCATTATGATTATCATTATTAAAGACAATGTTAGTAACATTATAATTAATTGCATGAGTAGTGAGGTTTATGTATTATGTATGGGACAAAGCTCCAGAGATGCTACTCTACTGATTAATTTTTCCAATTTCAACATAAATTTCTAATTCATATATACCAACCCACAAGGTCCCACAATGTACCAAGTACTCTGTTGTTTGATGGTATTTTTAAAGTAGAATGATGATACTAGTTTCCAATTTATTTGTTTAGGAATGTATATCACTATATATGAAGTAATTTTTAATTAAATACTTTAGATCTTCATCTCTATTGGCTTAAGGCCTTATATTGTACCTTTTAGCATTATCTGGAAAATGACACATTGGCACACAAGGCTGTGTTAGTGTGGATGCAATTAATTTCACATTAAATTTTTTTATTCAAAGAAAACCTCATATTGGCATATTGTGATTTCTGTAGAGATAACTGCATGATCAACAGTGTTTTGATACAGAGATTTTCAAGTAAGAATTCATCTGCAAGTAATGATATATTTCTTATATATTACTCAGTGAAGCTTCAACCAATTATTTATTGTTTATTTGCACCAAGCAGTGAAATCAACTAATAGCTGCCGCTTTTATTGTGATTTTTGTACAAGTAAAAAGCCTAGCATCCTTTCTGTCTTTTTTTTTTTTAGAGTGAAATTTTCAAGTCTCCAACCTCCTTTTGTATCTCATGTTGTCGAGATCTTTTTATCTTTTGTATTGTTCTTTACCGAATGCTTAGCAATTTGTCTCCTTTCTGAAACGTGGTGTCTGATGAACTTAGCCCCCAATTCACAACCTAACAAGACCTGAATGGAGTTCAGTCTGTTTTTATGCATGAGTTCACCATTACAATCAGAAGCACTGCAGCATTTGAATATTTTAACAGGGATCACAATGTCTACTCTTTCAATTTATCATCCACTGTATTTCTTGAATTTTTCTCTTTGCTGCTACCATTGCCAGCTTTTGATCACACTTTTTTAATTCCATTGCTCTGCATCAACATTCACATCCACCCTATTTTTCTGAACCAGTGTCATCAATTTAACCTATCTCCCCTGTAGATCAAGATTAGGGTACAGCACCCCAAAGATTTGCAATCCCTGCTATTTCCATGACTCGAGGTCCTTTAGATTATTACCATAAAATAGAGCACCTCTCGAAATATTTTTAAAGCTTTTCTCTTTCTTTCTTTCTTTCTTTCTTTCTCGCTTTATTTATTTATTTTTAGAGAGGAGGGAAGGGAGGGAGAAAAACATTGGTGTGCAGGAGAAACATGGATGGGTTGCCTTTCACACACCCCCAACTGGGGACCTGGCCTGCAATCCAAGCATGTGCCTTGACCTGAATAGAGCCTGCAGGCCCAGGCTCAATCCACTGAGCCACACCAGCCAGTGCCTATAGTAGACAGCTCTGCCTAGTTTTAGGAATTGTATCTCTACCCCTGTGGCTAAGGGTGAGAGACAACCTTTGGAGTGCCAGCCATAGGAGACAAAGCTTGTCTCTGGTAGCAAACGCTGCCTCAGTTTCCTCTCCCTGCCCCCAGAGCTTGGTCGGAAGTCAATGACGGGTAAGACCCCTCACAGCGGAGGGCAACCTAAGCCAGACTCGATCACTTGGGAGGCCTTCATGGAAGGACTGGGGGGGGTGGGGCTGCAACAAAGATCAATGGACTCTCGCCCCTGGCTTTGACAAAGCCCGAGTCCCCGTGTCTCCTGGGAGGGACACTTCCTGGCTCTAATCCCCTTAAGCCTGAATACCTGATGAGGAGAGGTGCAGCTCTTTCCCTTGCTAGAGCGTGCCCTGGGGAAAAATCTGGCTTCACAAAGACTTGCTGATAAACCTGTGAAATCTGCTAAGAGTGCTTTCATTCATATGATAAGGGTCTGCGAGGAAATGAGTATGTCTCCCAAAGTTTCTGCACCTCTCTTCTTGGCAGACGCTGACTCAGACTCTGAAGCCCTCAGACCTCTTTGAAATGTTATCTATTGTTTGATCCTTGCCGCCTTGTATTCCTGTGTATTACAACCCAATAAAAGGCTGTGGAGAAAGGCGCTCGGGGCCTTTTTCTCCTGGAGAAACTGGCCACAGCCCACTCCTCCTTCCCAAACAGATCCAGCATGTCTCAGCCATATTTATTCACTCACGTGTGTCTGTGGCACCAGGGGGTCTCACGAAAAAGTCGCCCCCACAAGTGCCCAAAATATTTTATAAGTATGCTACTTCACTATCTTGGAGGGGTTTTTTTAAAACACTTTTTAAGGTTCAATTGAAAAACAAGCAGACAAAACTGACTGGTCTGTTGTTTCATGCACATTTAAAAAGAAAACTTGGTGTGATCTCCCACGCAGAAATATACTCACAGCTTTCCTCCCTCTCAGGCATGCATTTCCTAAACTCTAAGGGTACCTAGGAGACTTGCAGCCAGGGCAGTACTGGGTGGCAGCAGCCTGTCCTGGCCTGACCCCCGAACCTGTCCCCAAACCTCCTTTTCTCTGACCTCCCAGTGAGCCAAGGCAGCCCCACCCAGGCTCTCTCCTGTCGCTTCTTCTATTCTAAGTCCTTCTTTGTTTCACTGTCCCCAGCTTTAACAAACGTACTCTCAAGATTAAAATAATAATAATAATATTAAATAGAAAAAAAAAGAAAATTTACAGTCCCATTTCTTGCCTTAATATAAGAAAGTTAATCTCAGAAAAAAAGGAAAGTTAAACCCAGTTAAACTACAGGATTGCATTATTGTTCTATTATTAAACTGTCATCCAAAAAATACAAATTAAACTTCCAATCTTCACACATAGGTAGCTCAGTGAGTACCCTTTACCCTCACTGCAGGAGGTCACTTGGACATGATGTGGCGGGTCAGACAGTTGGCTGAGCAAATCCCAGTAAACACGGAGTTAGTTTCACTGAGTATGTTTACTGGTCTAGTAACCAATGAAAGCAAAGCAGGACAGTATAAAAGTAACTAAGGAAATAATGAAAGAACCTTAAATTATTAGGCTTCAATTTAATTATTTTACCACAAGTAAATGGCAGAGTTATTAAAACCAATATGAGCTGACACCTTATAAATGAACGTCATTTATAAGGAATTATGGAAGTGATGGATTCTTCAAGTTAGACAATCAAAAATTACTACACTTAAATGAAACATCGGTCCATGTACTTTCCTTCGGCCGGGAACCCTCACCTACCCACTTTACATGTTCAGCACACGCACTACCCTTGCTTTCAGCTGGGCCTTGTCCACCTGACAGTCCTACTCATCTCTCCTGTGGCAGAATGCTATTCCTCCAAGGCAGGAATCCTTCCCTTCCTGGTGTTTTCACCCTCGTGCATTAAAAAACAGTTATCACCTCTCAGACAAGGCTTGTGTCAGTAGAAAGAAAGAGAGAATCAAATAAAAAACAAAGGAAGGAAAGTACAGACCACAATCTTTCAATAATACGTTTCACCTTTTTTCCCCATATTTATATATGATTATATATCTTAATAAAATTTTGGATGTAGTAATTTTGGATAAGCGCTTATGTTTTCCTAGCTTAAATATGTGTAGTAGAATGAAAGGAGGAAAAATAAGAAAATTATTTTTGTAACATTTTAACTCTGATATATAACAGTTTTCAGAAGACTTAGCATCAAGATAACCATTAGTAAAAGTTTTAAAATGAAGAGGCTTTCGTTCCAGACTGATCACAGATTTAATAACTGTCCTCAAGCATATGTTGGATCAATTGAGAGATGATAATGATGAAATATTTTTCTTAGCTCAGTAAAAGACCAGAAATGATTAACTTAAAGGGCAAACAGGAAAATGCTAGAGGAGGTGAGATATTATGACAAATTACTAAGTAATGCAGTAAAAGGTTTCCCTTACAAAGTTTTAAAGCAGGATAGCTACCTTTCGATCTGAAGAGAGATAGGATGCATAAATCTAGATAATACTCGGCAAGACCATATCAGCTTGTCCCATAAGTATGTAAGACTCTCTGTGGTTCCCTAAGTTCATCTGGAGCAAACTCCCCTCTCTGGTGCCCATGGGTCATCCCAGGCACTCAGATGAGGTACAAGCCCATTGTGGCAGGTAGAAAAGAATCATATGAACTAATTGTCCCCTAGCTCCACACCTTTCTCATCAGACTCACCTTAACACCATGGCCAAAGACTGGAGAGAATTGATTATAAATTACCCAAAATGCAAAGAGCAATGGAAAATAATGGTCCTTAGAAATATAAAGTCACCTAAGAAGGTTTAAAAAAAACCACAGGAAGAATATCACTAATCTCTGCTCTTTATATGTTGAATATTCTCTTCATTAACATTAACAAGTGACATTTAGTATATTTCTATAAAAATAATTATATTAAATAATTGTAATACCCATAATGTATTAAAATCCTGTATTAAGGAATTCCAAGATAAGATATAAGTTTAAGGTCTTTGTCAAGGGCCACTGAAAGACTAAAGATCTTCCTTTATAACCTTTCTGTTTTTAGTTTTTAATATTAACATTAGACTACTTTGTTTATATCATATGCTTGCAGTTGTTTAAGGAATAAATACCACAACCTTTACAAACAACCTTAGGGTTTGGCCTACATTTAATTATTCTGTTCTCAGGGGATAGTTAAGCTATCAAAATAAAAATAAATTGAGACTTAGATATGATGAATAAGGGCCTAACTTAGAGAGCCATTTCAAAACTCAGTAAAACTTTGCAAAGATAAGTGTGTTGGGCTTTCCGGCAGTTGCTTTGTGAACTGTGCACCTGATCCAAATTTTTGCATTTTTTTTCTTGTCTTGATTTTCTGCAGGTGATAAATGGAATGCATCCACTGAGAATCTGAAAGCAGGATTATATCAGATCAAGAAATCAGGGTTTGGTTCAACTTACCTGTTCCTGTTGCTGGAAATCCAGTCAGAAATAAGTGTTGAGGCCTGTTGGTGACAGTGCTTGTTGCCAAAACTACATGCCAGCATTATCACTTCTCGACGTAGTTCTCTTATGTGCCATAAACAGGGGGGGAATAAAACACTGTTAATATCAAGGGAGAAAGCATAACTCTTTATGCTATAGTAGATAAGTAAGTAATTAGCAGGAAAACAGATCTCAGATATGGAAATCCTATTCTGCTGAGTTAAGAGACAAAGAAGAAGTTAACCATACTAAAAGTCTACTCTGGAAACAGTACTACAGTGTGGGGCATGAGTTCAGATCTTAACTTCACCCATCCAGGCAGATCTTACATTAAATTACGGCAAGGAAATGCCTTTGTTCTCAGTACCAGGGGCAGCAACTATATTCCCCATCAGCAGTCCTCCCAGGTAAGGAAAATGAAAGGTGCAAAGTGAATGAAAGATACATCTCATGCTGCCAACCTCACAGTGGTACTAGTAGTATGTTACTGTACAAAACAGTTCTGGGGAAAAGGAGCAAATACTAAAATAAAACAGTACTCATGTTGGTAAGACGCTTGAATAAGAGATCCATTAAAATTATTTTTTGGCCATCCAAGCTTGATGTACGTTGTTGCAACTTGCTTTAAAATATATTCCTAAATGGGAGGAGGAGAAATAAAAATAATGTCAGTTTTGAATCTCTCCATTATGACAACTAAAATTATATAATGAAATGAAAACATTTTCTAAATGTACCTACAATATCAATAAAATTTTGGGCATGATGATTTTATTCAACTTAGTTTTTCAAATATAGAAAATAAGGATAAAATATAATTACAAGGGCGCAGTTCTACTCTTTACTTCTTGAACAATGAAAAAATTTGCAATGACAAATTTTCAATTTTCAATGACAATTTTTGCAGAAAAACAAGGAAACTGAGGAATGGTGATGATGACACTCAAGCAGACATATATTCAAATGTATGTCAAGTTTACAAACATATGTACCTAATATTTGTGCATTTTACATCAATAGAGCATGTTTAATGCAAGCTTATTATGAAAGCCTAGCATTGTTCAATCTGACATGCACAGAATACACTTAAGTAAACTGACAGTACTTCAGAGTCGATAACCCATTCTGTTAATAACATGTTTAAATATCAGTAGCAATGTAAGGCATACTCTCTTCAATTTAATGTGGTCCTGAATTTTGTCAAAAGAATGATAGCCCTGAAATTACAGTAAAAGCAGTTCCTAACTTTTCCTGAAATTGAGATGTCAGACCTGATATATTGAAGTAAAAATATATACAAAAATGTATTTTACTTTTACAAAAGTTTAATATTGCAGTGTCTCTGTATTGAGAAAAGAAAAATATAATAAGTCCGGCATATAAAAATTATGCCATTACTGTAATGACACATTTCTTTGCATATCTGTTTTAAGGGCTTAGACAAAAGTAACAAAACTAAGAGTCAAGCCAGGATTATTTCTATTTAAAAAGTTAAAATAGAGGTGTTTTCATGTAGGTTTAGAATAAAATAAAAAGAAGCAATTCTAATGGCCATCAGATAACTGGATGCTTCCAATAAACAGGTTTTTATGAGATCTGGCTGTGGTAACTACAAATGTGTAGGTTAATTAGCAGAGCCAGAATGTCATAAGAAACAGAATAATTTTATAAAACATAAGAAAGACTCTTGAAACATAAGTGTAAATAAATAGTGCTCAAGTTGATAGAAAGCACAGAGATATCGTCTCACAGGCAAAGCCTCCCTGGAGATAAAACATTCAGGGATTAAAAGCTCATTAGCAGTACTTAATTCTAATCTTATCCAAAATGATCGTTACATCAGATTAGGTGGCGTCAGCAGTGCAATTTTGGTTTACCAGGCTTCCAGTTTAGGAAATCCAGTCAGGTAATATTTCAGAATGTTTGTCCTGTCTTCGTGTCTATTTGGATTATCTGTTGTTTGCTTTCTTGTGTCCCATTGGACCCAATTATGAATGGGCTTTTGCCTCAGTGTTGATCTTATCCTTGTTAATTAAGGAAGTGAATTGAATTCACTATGTCCTTTCGGATAAAAATAATGACTAAGAGCCTTTGCCGAAACTGTCTATACTCTGTTAAGATCTTTCCAATCCCTCTACCCAGGTTAAGTCCTCTGTGAACATACAGCCATTTAACTCTTGGGAAGTAAATTTGAACTTTAAGATTGTGCCATGTATATTTGTTTTTAAATTCTGAGGCATGTAAGCTTAATGGACGCTTTTAGGCCAGAACAAAAGAGTAGCTTTGTATTCAATCTCTCCTTCAGGTAATTGTCATCACCGATGCACAGAAAATCAGGACAAAAATGATAACATGAATCAGAAGGAACTGAAGTAACTCAGGACCAGTTGAATATAGCAGATAGTGAGAAAATACTTTATGATGTGAAAATAGAAAGAAGAAAATGTATCTTCTTACATTGAAGACATTGTATTTCTCCATTCGGTCCAGTAATTTATCTAGAGGATAAAGAGCTCGGCTGGCAGCGTGCCAAGGAAGGAAATCCTTCTCCTCAGACAGGTATCTGATAATCTCCAGGGGAATATTCTGAGGCAAATAGCCAGCTCTGCAGTCAAAAAAGTGAATGTTAATTATATGCAAAAAAGGTACATAATGACGGAGAAATGAAGATTTTACTTATGCAAATAAAAGGCAGAAAGCAAGATTCATCACAGTATAAAGAAGCAATACTCGGGGTTATAAAATCAAAATTACTCACTTTTTAAATATAGTCCTACTTAGAATGCCAATGCCCCTTAACATGCAGAGTTGTCGAGTTAAAGATTTACATGAACACAAAAATATCAAAATGCATGTTTTTAGAGTATATTTTATTGGTTATGCTATTACAGTTGTCCCATTTTTTCTCTTCCCTTTACCCATCTATGTCCAATGCCCCCATTCCCTCCAGCATCCCCCCCACACTTAGTTCATGTCCATGGGTGGTACATATAAGTTTTTTTGATTCTCCATTTCCTATACTATTCTTAACCTCCCCCTGTCTATTTTGTACCTAGCAATTATGCTTTTCATTCCCTGTACCTTTTCCTCCATTCTCTCCCTTGCCTTTCCCCACTGATAATCTTCCATGTGATTCCATTTCTGTGATTCTGTTCCTGTTCTTGTTTGCTTGGCTTGTTTTTGTTTTGGATTTTTAAGTTCAGTTGTTGATAGTTGTGAGTTTGTTGTCATTTTACTGTTCATAGTACTGATGTTCTTCTTTTTCTTAGATAAGTTCCTTTAATGTTTCATATAATGAGGGCTCGCTGTTGATGGATTCCTTTACCTTATCTGGGAAGCACTATATCTACCTTTCCATTCTAAATGATAATAGCCTTGCTGGATAGAGTAATCTTGGATATAGGTTCTTGCTTTTCATGACTTGGAATACTTTTTTTCATCCCCTTCTTGCCTGTAAGATTTCTTTTGAGAAATCAGCTGATTGTCTTATGGGAACTTCTTTGTAGGTAACTGTCTCCTTTTCTCTTTGTCTACTTTTAAGATTCTCTTTTTATTTCTGATTTTGGGTAATGTAATTATGATGTGCCTAGATGTGTGCTTCCTTGTATTCAACTTCTTTGGGACTCTTGGGCTTTCTGAAAGTCTATTTCCTTCATCAGATTGGGGAAGTTCTTTTTCGTTATTTTTTCAAATAAGTTTTCAATTTCTTGGTCTTCCCTTTCTTTTTCTGGCACCCCTATGATTCAGATGTTGGAACATTTAAAGTTGTCCTGGAGGTTCCTAAGCCTCTCTTCAGTTTTTTAAAATTCTTGTTTCTTCATTTTGTTCTGGTTGAATGTTTATTTCTTCCTTCTGCTCCAAATCATTGATTTGAGTAACAGTTTACTTCTTTCACTCTTGGTTCATTGTATATTTTTATTTCACTTTGTATAGCCTTCCTTTTCTTTTGTTATTTTGTGGCTGTACTCAATCATTTCTGTGAGCATTCTGATTACCAGTGTTTTGAACTCTGCATCTAATAGGTTGGCTGTCTCCTCATTGCTTAGTTCTTTTTCTGGAATTCTGATCTGTTCTTTCATTTGGACCACATTTCTTGTCTTGGCACACTTGTTATATTGTAAAGGGTGAAGCCTTAGGTATTCAGTAAGCAGGCAACTCTCTTCACTGCATTGTGGCACTTTATGTGGGTCAGAGAGGGAACAATGCCACTTGCTCGGCTCTCACTTCCACTTTCAGTTTGCTTCCCACAAGCAAATTATCCCCTTTTAGGTGTTTCCCTGGTGCTGATTCCTGGATATATGGGCTCATATATGTTCTAGGACCCCATGGGCCTCCACAACAGACTCTTTTATGAGACTGGCAGTTTTTCCTACTGCTGCAATCCCCACAGATTTTTATAGTCAGAGGTTTTGAGACTTTATTTCCCTGCACTGGAGCTCTGAGTTGCACAGTCTGTCTCACTCCCCAGTTGTCCCTCCTGGTTTATCTGAATGTGAATGTCAGAGCCCTTGGTCCCCCAGCCACTGCCTTGCTCTGCATCTTCTCTGCCCTGGCTGCCCATCTCTGTTCCTCCTACCAGGCTGGATGAGTGTTTTTTCTTTGACTCTTTGGTTGTTGGACCTCCACACAGTTTGATTTTCAGGCAGTTCTGGTTGTGTTTTGTTTCTAAATTGGTTGTTATCCTTCTTTTGATTGTGCAAGGAAGTAAAGCACATTTACCTACACTTCCAAGTTGGCTAGAAGTACAATTTCTTCTAAATGTATGGTCTGATTCCTTTCCTTTTAGAAAGAAAGACGTGGTGAAACTTGAATAAAATTTACTCTAGGTATGTTCCTTCTCAAAACCTCTTCAGAGGTCATAAGTTATTGAAAATAATTGATTACTAAACTAAAATTTTGGTTCTTTGGAATTCTCTCTACTTCTCATGTAGCTCTGTGTAATAATATTCAATACTGATTACTTTCAAAATGATGATGAAATTCAAGTGGCATCTTAAAGTCTTGACTGTAAGTATGTTACCTTACAATTTAAGCATTTTTCAAACCTGCTTGTTTTTTTTTTTATGACATCTATAAAAATCAGAAACATAGCCATGGATGACACAATTTTAGAGTTGAAAATGATTTATCTACAAGCCATTATTTTTTTAAGAAATCAGAAAAATGTTATATTTGCTCAGAGATTTAAGCATGCTAGCCTTATGTCAGTTACACTTTATTGTGTTTTTCATCTCTATAAATGGATGAACATTATTCAATGATTTATGCTTTGTGGGCAACATGTCTACAAATAAAAAGATGACAACTAATGTTACAGAAAGAGGCTCTCCTTGAGAAAGGGACTGAAATGGAGAAAGAGGCTAAAACCGCTAATGTTCCATATGTAATTAGACAAATAAATTCATCTCTTCAAGCCTTACATTCCTTACCTATGAAATAAGAGGGCTGAACTAAGAGACATTTGGTTTTAACTTCAAAAATGTTTTATTATAACCTACTTATCTATAATTAAACTGCTGAGAAATAATTGCAATAACATGGGCATAATTTATTTAAAATTTTGGGAAAAAAGCTTATAATTGTTATACTTCCCACTCTTTAATTGTTTAATATGTACAAGTCTAAGAGTCAGGGCTTAGATTTAGGTTTTATAAGACCCTGTATAGCACAAAGAAAATGAAGGTAAAACAAGCCTGATAGAAATTTTAAATAGCAAGGCACATAAAGTATTCATTAGATAGAAAGAGGGAGCAAGTTCTGTTTTGAGTCCTCACAGCAAAAAATTGCTCACTGCTCACCAAAATCCATGCTTTCCCTTACTTCCTATAATAGGCCATAATTCCCATTTCCTTGGTTGTTAGGTGTGGTTATGTGACTAAGATCTAGCCAATAGAATATAATGCTCCTCACTGCCCGGGTGAGCTGCTAGACATTTCTCATTAACTCCTCCATGTTCTTTTTCCATGAAATGAATCTTCCTGGTAGGTGTGGAACTCTCACATTTAATATGTCAATAACCTACCTGGTTCTCTGGATGACTGCATGCTCCAGTATCAGTTTTCACACCCAATCCATTGTGTAACCAGTATACACATTTCTACTCAGTTTGATCCTACTACAAATTTGGGACTATTTTTTTTAAAGCAGTTAATCTTTTCCAATGTAGTCTTCAGATAAGAAACAGATAACACTCAAATTGCCCTCATTTTGTACTGTTACAAACATATATAGATAATTACTGACTACATAATTCAATATACAGGGTCTGGCTCAAATAATGCCTCTTTTTATCACAAAATTATAAGCATGTAATTCTGTACATAACAGTATCACATGCAAGCACACTACATGACATTTCAGATGAAATGTTCAAATTAAAACTATAAATTATTACACCCACATTATACTCCTCCAGCCACACTCAAGCAGCCTTACTTCTGTAGGACTCTGTATTTGCATTTGGCTTACAAGATCAAAATATGTAGCTACATTCAGTTTGACAAGAGGATGATCAGCTTCATTACAAAATTAAGATTTGTAGAAGATAATCTTGCTGAACAAGTTACTAGTTTAGATATGTGTTTGTGTAATTGGCTAGTAATGATATCTGTGATTACTCCTGCTGATAATGCAATCCATTACAGGGAAGTGTGTGAAATCCAGTGAGTGGAACATTACATTAGCACAAAGTAATCAGCCTGGTAGGAAATATACTTAGGGTCCGGACACTGAAATGCAGTTTCCCTAAATTTGCATCATCACAGGGACATGCCACTAACAAAAAAGGGAGGAAACAGAAAATTTAAAGAATATATCATGCGAAAAGACTTCCGCCAAGATGGAGGCATAGGTGGACATGCTGTGCTTCCTCACACAACCAAGTTTAGAGACAACTAAATATTAGCAACAGAAAACACAGCCAGAACAGGGAAAACTGAACTTTTCAGAAGTCTGATAACAACAAATTCTTCAGCCTGACCGGTAAGAGGGGCAAAACCAGCAGCTGGTGGAGCGGGGTTGCACAGGAGGACTCGGTCAGACGGACTCAGGCGTGCAGAATCGAGGTGCAGGGTTTGACCTGGTGGGTGACCCAGCGACCACGGGGGAAACAGCAAGGGAGCAAGGCTGCGGGTTGACTGTGGTTGCTCATTCGTTCACAGATAGACAAGCAAGGGAGTGGGCGATTGGACCGGGACTCAGCGGGTCCCGAGGCGAGCGGCAGTGGAGGGCGCAGCCATTTCCCTGCTCTGACCCCACCTCCACATACAGCGTCTTAACCCAGCGACCTGAGTGGCCCCGCCCTGGTGAACCACCTAAGGCTCTGCTCCTCACCCAGCGGGCAAAACAGACAGAGGGCCGCCATTTCCCCCGCTCTGACCACGCCCCCACATACAGCATCACAACCCAGCGACCTCGGAGTCCAAGGCTCTGCTACTCATACTTAACGGGGGCGAACAGACCAAAAATGGCTCAGAAGATCTCAAAGCCCCAGAGCCTATAAATCTAAGCGATGAAGAAATAGCAAAACTCTCAGGTGCACAGTTTAAAACACTGGTGATCAGGATCCTCACAGAACTGGTTGATTATAGCCACAAATTAGACAAA